CACCACCACCCAGGTTTCTTTTAAATAGTAGACGCAGAAGTGATTTAAACAGGCTGAAGAGGCTCCGCCTGGCGCTCGCAGAATCCAAAGACTGCTGAAATCAAAACCGTCGGCTCTTTATTCTAATCCCACTTTTCTTTACCCGCGGTTTCACCTGGTATTCGTCCTGAGAAATTTCGCTCCTTGCAAACAAAGAAAGACAGTGCCCTCTGAAGTCCTTTGTTAGCATTAAGTCGTCAGCCTCACCATGAGCCTTTACAAATCTGTTTCATATTCTAAATTTTTATGCAGCGTTCTCAGCTCGAGACTGCTTCACAAAGCCAGAGACGAGCTGGATCAATTCACAGTAAGAACCACGTGAAGCGACTGTGGGAGCTGCGAGGTGAAGAGAGAAGGGTGCTGTGAGCAGACCCTGTTTCTGAAGGAGACATGGATAAAAGCGGATACCAAAAAAATTGAAATACTGTAGACATCAGAGCTAGCTACTGCACATAGGTCTTTTAAAAACATGCTTTTGTATCCTGTGGCAAGGTGTGAGGGACGCTGATGGGAGGCCTCAAGGCATCTCCTGGGAAAGTTTTGTCTGTCTAGGTGATGGGTGAAAAAGCAAGCACGTTTGTCTTGAAGACCAAATGTTAATGTCTTCCTTTGGGGAAAATATTCTGTTAAAATTATGAGATTAACAGTTTCTCTCGTAAGAAGTGTTTCCCTTTACTTCAGTCACTTACCAAATCTACCTAGAACTTCACCTACATGACCCTGCCCAGAAATAAAAACATATACACAGCTCAATTTGTTGGTTGCAGGTTTTGTTGGAGGAAGCCACTGAGCGAGGAATAGGCCAACCTGTGTCTGTAGCATCTTTACCACCTGGAAACTGCAGTGTCCTTAACCAAGGAGACAGCAAAGTTTACTTCTCTTTGAAAACAGCTGTGCTAAGTAGGAAGGGATGCTAAGTAGCCATCGAGTCATTATCCACTAGATGCTGTATCTGCTCTGCCTCATGTTGCCACTTTTCTATGCTTCAAGAACAGAGAAGGAAAAAAAAGTTGTAGCCTGGAAAAATCTTGAAATGTATTGTGACCATATACATTTGCTTCGTCTGCCTCTGGGAGATAAGCAACATTGAGGCAAGGGAAAGAAATGAGCTTAAGTAGGCTATGAAACTGGAAAACATTTTCCTGCTGAGAAACACAGGAACTAACCTTGCATTTGGGGGGAAGCGTGTGTACTGCCAATGACCTCCTACAAACCGTGCACTGGTTTGCTTAAACGAGTGTGTGAAAAGTTTTCAGCCTGTGTACGCTTGCTAATGCTTATTTCACAGCTGAAAGTGATTTGCAAGTTAGCATATTTTTGATCGCAGCAACACAAACTGGGTTATTTCTCCAACATTTCTCAGCCAACCCTAAAGGTAATTCTTGTCACTTCACTCATAGGAAGAAAAGATGAGCAAGTCTTATATCTGTGCAAGAAGAACTCTCTAGGCAGGCCTGTGATCAAACTAGATGACGATAGGCATCGTAGATATCCGAGTCACAAACAACTCAGGAAATGCTACCGACAACTGTGCTAGTCAATGGCCACCACCTCACTCAAGATGTGAGGCCAGCCCTGGACGTCTCTGGGAGCTCGTCTTCTCTGCCCTGTGACACCAAAGCAAGGTCTCATTTTTAATGCTGTTAAGAAGCTGTGCCCAAGGCTGTGCCCTTGGTATCTCCTTTAACAACGTTATTTTGTTAGGCTGCAAAAGAAGCAGCATGGGGTTAAATGTATTAGCTGCCTTCAAACCTAATTTATCTTCATTCCTTCCTAATTTACACTCAGACTGAATTAATGAGAATGATTTAATTAACATGGTGCGACCATGGTACCAGGGACAGGACAGCTCTGGGGATTAGACCAAACAGTGGGCTAAGCAGCTGCCATCCTGCCTCCTGTGGTCCCCTTGAAGCCCCACCCGAATTTCAGTTGTGTTCCCTGCCAGTCTTCCGAAAGCATCCTCTTTGTTCTTTGATGCGCTTCCTGAATCTGTGTGTGGAAGATGGCACAGTTTCCTTCCTTGTGTTCTTTGTGAGATGCACTTCAAGGCTGTGGCCTATGAAGTCAGTGTGGCAGAGGGGCCAGCTGCAGCCAAAGATCTGTGCTCTTCCTCCCCTAGTGTCAAGTTCCTGCTGGGAAGTGGACACCCAGCCAGGGGCGACACCCCCCGACTGCACTTAGGTTCTGGGATCAACACCTATGGAAGGAAAGAGAGGGAAGCGGGATGGGCAGAAGGAGGAACTGAGGTGTGATGCAGCCTCAGCTAAGGCCTCAGCCAACTCCCTGTGGAGCTCTGAATTGGAAATAACCTTGCAGAGTTGTCCCCAGGATAGATGAGAGGCCACGTTTATAGAGCTGCATTACCAGTGGCTGGATGTGGCTTCCCAGGAAAGAGGCCACGGCCTTGCTCAAGGTGGCACTCTTCCAGAGGCAGTTCTGAAGAGGGCAGACAGCTGAGCGCCTTCTGCCAGCACCACCAGCAGCTGGGGGAAGAAGGCTTTCATTCTCGGGGGAGGAGGGGGAGGGCCCGCCTGCCGAGAGTGACACCAGGAGAGGGAGGGAGGAAGCGCTGGAAAGCGGCCCGCGGTGGAGGAGGAGGAGGAAAACGAGAGGAGATGGAGAAGAGCGTGTCGGGGGAGTTAATCGAGAGAGGAAGCGAGGGAGGGGTGGGCTGCAGAGACTGGAGACAGACAAAGCGTTCGCAGTATCTCAGCCATTAGCAAGCAGCTGCACCCCTCGGGGACCGCGAGCGAAACAAGTTTTCCCGGGTCGGAGTGTCTGCGCCTCTCTGGATGGACTAGTCCGGTTAATGGCTAGTCCTGGAGCGGAGGGACCCCGGGCAGGGGCGTGCAGGCCTGGGCAATGCCCTCCGCGCTGCGAGATGCTCAGGAAAGGGCGGCGAAGGGCGAGCTGGCCGTTCGCAGCAAGCGCCCTGGGCGCGCACAGCCTGCCCGCCGGGTGGGACGTCTGGAGGGAGGGCAGTGGCGAGAGAAGGGGCACAGGCTTGGACATTCCGGGGACGCCGCAAGTTGGGCAAAGCCGGGCCGCAGAGTTGCTCGCTGGCCGGGGGCCAGACTCGTGCGACTTCCCTGTGCCCCCTTGTCCTCCACCCCGGGCGGGTGCGGCCACGACGGCCCGGACTCTGCCCCACGCCGCCCGGAGCAGCCGCAGCCCGGGACTGTCCGGCGGGGCGCGCCCACGTGCTTCGCAGCCAATCGCCGCAGCGGCTTGATTCAAAGAGAACCGCTCACGGGAGCGGCCACGCCGCCTCCTCTCGCTAGAGATAAAGCCTCCTCAGTCGCCCACTCAGACTGGGCCCTTCCTGTCTTTTATCGCTCGGTTGTGTTAGTTTGGAGTTCTGCAAAGAAATAGCCCCTCACACACGCACACGTTTGAAGCGCCGCGTGCCAAAAGAAAGGAAAGCGATTCGAAAAGTAACGTCTCATGTCGCTCACTATTTACAAAACCCATTTTTGATCTTTGCACTATGGGCTTGTCTTTTCACCGGGAGCTAAAACGTCTGTTTGGGTTTTTTTTTTTTTTTA